CCACCAGTCGTGGTCAACAGAGCTGATAAGTAATAAACCGCAGCAATGTCAACAGAATCCACATCCAGCTTTTACTTTGGAGAGTTACAGATGAAATAACAGTCTGTGGTCTTGGAGACCTTTCTGTGTAATTATCATTTTGGGATATTTTATCAGTTTATCGATGCTAAATCTACATAAAGGCTTTTAAAACTAAATATAATCTAAATTTCCAAAGATCTATTCACCAGCTTTGAATGAACTGAAGTGATACAAAAGGATTGTTGCTTGAGCAAATAAAAAAAATACATATTTAACTCACAAGGAAATTTGAATTAAAAGGTTAAAATAGAAAAACTTTCATAATTTTATTGTCACGAAATAGCAAATACACGAATACAAATATTATGTACCACTGTTTCATCATACTTATTTAAGTCCAGTGTAACAAAACGCTTTGCACTTTAGTTCAGTGTTACATTTACCACAAAACGGTCTTTACCCCATTGTGTTTACGTGTTCTCTTTAAAGAGCAAAATGCAGGTAGTTTTTTTTTCTAATTCATATAAAATGCTGTCAAATGTTGCAAAAAATACTATTAGAAAAGCTTATTGTGGATATATTGTTTAAAAATACATAACAGCAGAGTTTTCTAGTAAAAAGTTGTTTTCTCTAGTTTCTAAAGCCCTTTTCAGACAGACATTCTGGAACATTTGTGGACAATTCAATCCTTTTTTTAACCGGAACTGTGTTTTCAGACACACCGCTTTTGTACCGGAACTTGTCCTTTCGGCTGCGTTCACACAGCAGGGAAAAGTTCCAGATGTCTGACGGGGGGGGGGGGGGGGGGGGGAGGACTCATGTTAAGAAGAAGAAGAAGAAAATATCATTTCTATAGCGCCTCTCAAGATAAAAATCACGAGGCGCTTAAGCATAATTCTGCGCACACGAAGACGCATAAGAGACCTGGATGATGAAGCTCAATGGTTAAAGGAATCACTGAAGAGGTGTGAAGCGCTCTGTCGCGCGTCTAGGCGGTACCGTAGGAGGCGAGCTGCCGTGGTTCGCCGCATTCTACAGCAGCGGGCTATTTAGGTGCGCACAGCGTCCCCCGGTCCCCTCCTCCTTCCCCTCCCCCTTGTCCAGAACTCTACCTCACCAGTCTGATGTAGCCACCTTGTCCGTAACAAGTCCGGACCTGTTACTATGGGCTTCGTCCGGATAAATTCCGAAACACGTTATCCGGATGTTTGTATTCAGACACAAAGGTCTTACGGACAGAGTCCGGAACATTTCCGTTTTTCATGGCCTGTCTGAAGGGGGCTTCAATGTGAACGTCTGACGTAACCAAAGGGAGTTAGAAGCTCAGCATGGAGAGTGGCTAGTTTTAGGGTAGAGAGGTCATGTGATCCAGCCAGTGTGTGTGTTTATTAGTGTTCATGTTGATAAACTATAGTGTGTGATGGCTGTACCAACTCCAGCCTGTCGAGTCCACGGGTTTCCAGATAGAGAAACCACTCCTCTATCTCCGTGCCTTTGGCCGTTTTGTGCAGCTGAAGACGGACTTCTGTAGCCCACATGGGTCGGTACCGGGACATGATAATAGATGACGTAGATAATCACACCAGTGCTGATATTCAGCAACAACACACGGCCTCGAGTGTGATAGTGCTTTTATACAACAGTTCTACTTTCTCAAGCACCTGGGCACAGCGGAGTGATGCTGTTTGTAAACAGTCCCAGTGCTGTTATAGTCCAATATCAGCACTCTTGGAAAGTCTCTTGACCAATCAAATCACTCGGTCGGAACTAACTGTTGTATAATATTATATTAACTGACCGATACTATTGTAATTGTCTGGTACACAATAGTAATCTGTACAATTTTGTGATGTTAGCACAAGAGTTTAAGCTAACATGGTTAACTCACAAGCTGCTCCCCCGCTGCTTCTCCTCACATCGCAGCACAAATCTCTCTACTTTGGCCGATGGTTTCTCCCTCTGGTTGGTCTCTGTTCTCTGGGGCGAGCAGCTAACTCATAACTTTATGGTTTTGGTCCATCAGAAGTAGAATTGTAAACTTTTAAAGTTTCCTCTGTGTCAGAGCTGCATTAGAGTCCACATTTTTCACTGGATTAAGCTAGCAGGACTCCGTCAGCCGACGTCACTTGGTTTGGCCAAAATAATAATAATTTCTCACAAAAATGACTCTAAAAGCCTGAATCATTTATGTCTGTGTAAAAAAAATGTTCAAAACGAGTTTCTATTATGTTTCTCTAAACATTGGTTCGTGGGAGTCTCTAACCTACCATTTGTTCTTCAAGATCCACACTCTAGTGAGAACTCTTGTCTAACAACCATTTACTATTAGATGTGTCAAAATGTCAGTTAAGTTATAAAAGAGGTCAGGCTTTTGCAGGGGCGGCTTCAAACCTGGGGAATCATCTTCCTTTCCTAAAACAGACTGCTGAGACTGATGATCTTTTGACCTTTGCCTTTTGACTAAAGCAGAGCATGAAACCTAAAAAGAACATTTGGATGTGGTTCTAGGCTTTCTACGTCACTTGTGTAGAAGACTTTAAAGAACTCGAGTGGTTTTTAATGGGACAATGTGTATTTTTCCTGGCGATAGGGGGCAGTAGATATCTAAATTGTTGCAAGGAAGCTGTATTTTTGTGTTGGAGTAAGACCTTAACAATGGATGCCCTATAGGGTCAAAAAGCCCTATTGAGTGCAAACTTCAGCAAAATGACGAGCAGAGGCGGTTTTACCATTGGACATAGGTAGGCGGCCGCCTGGGGCCCCCTTGTGTTGGGGGCCCCCTAGCCCTGACCGCCGGCACCCCTCTGTTAATGCCACAATATTCTTATTACCAACCTGTGGCCGCAGACGGGATTGGAGATGCGCACTTCTCATTACCATAATTCCTGAACCGTTCAAGATATCATTAAAATTCCAAAAGGGCTGAAAAGATTAAAAATGGGGCTTTTCGTGCGTATACAATACATTACGGTAGCCACCGGGATTCCCTGTCTTGAGCGCAACGAATCGCAACACAGATTCAGAGACGTGCTGAGTTTGTCATCCAAAATGCTCCGTTTTATAACTTTTGAACGGCTGATCAGATCCAGGAAATTCCAACGGTTCCTAAAAGTACATAAAAGCAGCTTTCCAACGATCTATAGCATGAAGCAATCAGAGTTAGGGAAAATATCGCTACGGGGGAAATCCTGCTGTACAGCCTGATTGAAACGGAGCGCAGCGCCGCGGTGAAAGCGGATAACGGAACGGGGAAGCTAATTAGCATAAAAAGCCAGCATGAAATTATGGAAGAAAATCAACACGATCTATTAGGTGTCCCAGAAGGCTTATATCTGAAGACAGTGACCACAAAGAAGGACAGATCTCCAGTGAACCATGAACGTTTGTTCAGTCTTTATTTTTTATTTGAACAACCCTCAACTATTTGCTAATTGTAAGATTCAGCTTCATTCCAGCATTATTTATCTTTTTACCATAAATAATTATTTTTGCTAAAACAAAAGTTTTTGGTATAGCAGTGCACGGTGTGCCAGAGAAACACCCCATGGCAGTGTGAGGTGTGCAGGACTCTGCCTGCAGCTGGAGAAAAACTGCTTCAAGGTCTACCACATCAAATAAAAACGTCTGAAAGTTTACAAAAATAAATGGTCCTAAAAACTGCTAAAAAAAGATACCAAGGTTCACACTTTTTAAAGAATAGATGCATTACAGTTCAAAGTTTAAATTGTTTGCCCAGTAATTTTGAAGTTCCTGTTCAGTGATAAATGTAAAAAATTCAAATCCGTTTTTTGCTTTTTTCACTTTTAAGCTGATTTTTTAACGGCTTTAATAGAAATAAATGCTAAATACAAACCATGCACTGAAAGCTGAGGTTGTTCTGAAAAAAGAAGAGTTACACACACTTTGCACTTTTTATTACAATTTTACAGCCATAAGATTAAAAAAATACCAGGCGGCCTTGTTATAATTATGGTCATAAGAGGGTTATTAAGACGGCGATGCACAAACAGGAAGTGATTGGTAGTCATTCCACTCCAATCCAGTTGTTGGTGGTAATGCACCAAATTGTTGTTTGCCAAGTGCCATAAGACCACAAATAATAAGAAGAAGAGAGGCGGGAGCATTCGTAACAAACTCAAAGCGATAGTCAAAACATTAAGCATGAAACTGAGTTATCCTAGTGGCTCCAATAAGAGAAAGAAGCAGCATGCTTCATAAAAGCTTTTATCTTCACTTCTGAAAGTGACGTCGTTTTTCGATGTAAACATCAAAAGGAAGCAGAAAGGAAAGACAATGGAAAATGTTTAAAGGGAGGAAAACATAGACCAAAATGGAAAATAGAAAAAAAAAACAAAGGCAAAAGCACAGGAGCGCAGACAGGAAGAAGAAAGCAGAGCAAATATTGAAGGTGCTCAAAGGGAGAGAAATACAGGAAAAAAGAGGAGGACTAATAAAAAGGGAAAATAACTCATGTCAGAAGAGGGGAGAGTTTCGCAAATCCAGTTAAAGGTAAGATTGTCGAAAATTTAGTGTAAGGGGCCCCGTGTCTGTGTTCGCCTTGGGCCCCCAAATTGCTAAATCTGCCCCTGATGACGGGCACATCAAGCTCTCTTTTATCTGTGGCAACGAGTGAAGAGGTAAATGTGTAAAACAACAACGTTTAGGAATGGTGAGTTTTGTTACCATTTGTTAGATATCAGTAATACATTTTGTCCTCAATGGCTTCCGTTGAAGGAAACATGGCATCTAAAATGGCGTCACCCTGAGACTTAGACCCGCCCCCGTGTATTTTAGACCTGATTTTTATGATTATATGTTAAGAATCTGCCAATATTTTTCAACAACTGGGTATCATTTAATTCATTTTCCAACCCAGAGATTAATGGTTAAAACTACACATTGTCCCTTTAATGCACCATAGAATAAAATTTGACTTTGATGTCATTGTATTTTGATCCATGTGTGGTATCCATAGAGACCTGCTGGATGCGGTTGATTCGCCTCTCGTCCGTCTCGGCGATGAACAGCGTTCCCAGGTGAGACAGGGCGATGGCCTTGGCAGCCTCCAGGGTAGCGCGCACGGCTGCTCGGCTCACCAGGTGGTGGTCGATACCCGGGACCTGGCAGTGGATGGGACGCCCTGCCACTATGCGCACCTGGAGACTTTCTGACACCTGAAGACGAACACCGTCATTTATTATCTCCGTAAAACAGATGCAGCAATTACATCAGTTTCAGTCGCTGACAGTAACAGAAACTTTTATTGATCCAGCGTGACACACACCTAAAATCTTGCCTCACATACCGACTTTCACGAGATAAAAGCTCCGTTTAATAACTTAGGAGAAAAAGTTGAGTGACATTTTGTAATAAAAACTGCCGCAGAGATCCGTGACAGTATGTCATTTTTGTTAACAAGCTCTTCCTTCGCTTTTATTTATGTTAAAAGCCTCACTTACTCCAAATGGATCTACTAAGTGACAGCTCAGGATTCTGTGTAGATTTTATTACTTGGCACTGTCAAACTATTTATCGCGTTTTTGTGGGAAAAATACCAACAAAAACAAACCAGACAAACTCTGTAAACTGAGATAGTTTGCACACCTGTAAGACGATGTTGTTGTCCAGGATGAAGAGCGAGTTGTCCAGTGGGTTAATTGCGAGGTCTGTTGGCCACTCCAGCCGTACCTGAAGGATGAAACACCAGAGACGTCGCTTTAACTCTATAAATGTGAGGCAAACTCATGTATAAATACAAGAAATCTTTGCTAGCGACTGCCCACAGGAGCCAGTTACAGGTAGTACAAATAATATCTCCTTAATAACATAGTATTAGGACTCCTGACCCTCCCGGCTCATGCAAAGGTCAGCATCGGGCAGGGAGTCTTCCCCGTGTTTATTCAGGACTCACACCGGCTCGCTTCGGCACCTTTCCAAATGTCAACCAATAACCGTGATTTCTGCCTGCTCAAATAGCACACCGTGTCCGCTAACACCGTGGGGGTCAACGCCAGACAAACCTAACACCGTCTCACAGCCACCCACATCCCACACAACACACACACACACACACACACACATGCACAGACATAAACACACACACTCGCACGCATGCACAAACAAACAGAGAGCTGCTGTGAAGATGAGGTGGTGCATGTGGGAGATCAGGTGATTGATGACTCAGAGGATGGATTGGTAAATAAATGGATCATGTTAAATTGCCACTGACATGTCCAATTATAGGCTCCGTCAAACGAGAGCGGGACGAAGGTTGACTCTGAAATCCCATTTTAGGAGCTGGAGAGCTTCATCAAGCAGGATTCACCGTGTCCCTCGTCAGGGAGGACATGCATCAAACCTCTGCTGCTTTTGACAATGAACTGCAGCTGCAACCCAAAGCTTCATTAAAGGCTTAATTTGGTCATTTTTAGAGTCCGTAAAAAAACTTTTAAATAATTATTTTACCCAGTGTCCCGACAGGACTGATACGCTAACAGCTAACAACGGGGGCCGAAGTGTGCTAACGCTACTCGATTACACCAAAACACCTTCATATATATATATATATATATATGTGTGTGTGTGTGTATATATATATATATATATACACACACACACACATATATATATATATATATATATGTGTGTGTGTGTGTATATATATATATATACACACACACACACACACACACACACACACACACACACACACACACACACACACACACACACACACACACACACCCATATATACATATATATATATATATATATATATATATATATATATATATATATATATATATATATATATATATATATATTCTATCGTAATCAATTTCCCTCTGGGATTAATAAAGTATTTTTGAATTTGAATTAAATCTAAATCTAAAAAGTAATTTCAAATCTAAATATGTGAGCTAAATCTTTTGGTGTAGATAAATTACCCCTCCATCCCCAGAACTACCCACCGCATTTGTGGCCCCGTCCACAACCTGGCTTGACTGACTGCTCTCACTTTCCTTACCCCTGACACTACCTGTGCTTCGAAAACTTAAATGTAGGAGTTTGGATTTGATTTTGGGTTAAAATTACGACATGTTAACATGTAGGTAGGAAGATTTTTAGGCAATTTCCATTTCAAATGTGATGAAAAGCGTAATAAATATAAGAAAATAAAGCTAAATAATGAATGCTAAATCTTCTGCATGACATTTTTTCATTTTGCATCCCATAGTTTAACACACAATAGTGAAAGCACTCCATGCATCACACTGGTTGACAATAGTCCACGGCATTTATTCTTCTTTTTAAAGTTGTTTTTCTATTTGAAGCCAAGAGTTGAATCTGCTCAAACTTTTCATCTCATTGGCTAAAACGGCATCCAATCACAGCTCAGCAAAAATGTTTAATTAGTTTATTTATCTTGTAAATCTTTAAAACTGTTACATCTGAATTCCAGCAGTGGTATCTGCAGTTCAAGAATCATAAATGTAGGACAAGTCTGTTCCCAACAGAAACAGGAAGCTGATGAAATGGTAATTAATTAAATATTTGATCCAAAACACACTTGAAAATGACTGAAACACCCTTTAAAGCCCACCTGTAAGCAGGCATGGACATGTTGGGTTAAAATCTTGATTAAAATATACAGGGGAGTCCTGTGGGGGGTACTCCGGGAGTATGGGGCACCAGGCCCTCTGATACGGGCTGTTAGGTCCCTGTATGACCGGTGTCAGAGCTTGGTCTGCATTGCCGGCAGTAAGTCGGCTCGTTCCCAGTGAGTGTTGGACTCCGCCAAGGCTGGCCTTTGTCACCGATTCTGTTCATAACCTTTATGGACAGGATTTCTAGGCGCAGCCAAGGTGTGGAGGGCATCCGTTTTGGTGGCCTGAGGATCAGGTCTCTGCTTTTTGCAGATGATGTGGTCCTGTTGGCTTCATCAGAACGTGATCTTCAGCTTTCGCTGGAGCGGTTTGCAGCCGAGTGTGAAGCAGCTGGGATGAGAATCAGCTCCTCTAAATCTGAGACCATGGCCTTGATTCGGAAAAGGGTAGAATGCCTTCTCCGGGTCAGGGATGAGGTCCTGCATCAAGTGGAGGAGTTTAAGTATCTCGGGGTCTTGTTCACGAGTGAGGGAAAGCTGGAGCGTGAGATCGATAGGTGGATTGGTGCAGCGTCTGCAGTGATGCGGGCGTTGTACCGGTCTGTCGTGGTGAAGAGAGAGCTGAGTCAGAAGGCGACGCTCTCGATTTACCGGTCGATCTACGTTCCTACCCTCACCTATGGTCATGAGCTTTGGATAGTGACCGAAAGAACGAGATCACGGAAACAAGCAGCCGAAATTAGTTTTCTCCAAAGAGTGGCTGGGCTCTCCCTTAGAGATAGGGTGAGAAGCTCAGTCATTCGGGAGGGGCTCGGAGTAGACCCGCTGCTCCTCCACATCGAGAGGAGCCAGTTGAGGTGGCTCGGGCATCTGATCAGGATGCCTCCTGGACGCCTCTCGTGAGGATTTCTGGGCACGTCCAACCGGAAGGAGGCCTAAAGGTAGACCCAGGACACGGTGGAGGGACTATGTCTCTCACCTGGCCAGGGAACGCCTTGGGATTCCCCCAGAGGAGCTGGCCCAAGTGGCGGGGGAGAGGGAAGTCTGGGCCTCTTGCCTTAGGCTACTGCCCCCGCGACCCGACTCCGGATAAGCGAATGAAAATGGATGGATGGATGGATTAAAATAAGAATTAATTTTCAGATAAACCAGTTCACATGTAGAAAAAGTACTTGTAAATATTTGAGTTTTTCTTGAAAACTTGATGAAAAACTAAATTACCGAATTTTAATTGTTTTTTGTTTCTTTTGTTTTGGCAGAAAAAAGCCTGCTTTAATGCATTCATGTGCTCCAGGAAGCCAGATTGTTTGGCTCTCGCTGACAATACAAAGTACTGGCAATTTCAAAAGGTGAAATGTTTATGTGGGTGGGTGCTAAGCATTCAGAGCTTTAGAGAAGTAAGAGCAGAAACATTCTGCATTGAATATATTACCAAAGTACAGAAATAAGATTACCCAATTTTATCATTAAATTATTACCTTAGAATCTCCTAGAGTTCAAATACCCAAAGAGAGTTATTACATCAGGCTGTTTTTGATGTTATATTACAGAATTCTTCCACCTCCCCACCCCTACCCTGAATGTCCACCCATCCACTTTTTTGTATCCGCAATCTCATTCTTTAGGTCACCACCCAGAGCTCGTGACCATAGGTGGAGGTTGGAACGTAGATCGACCGGTAAATCAAGAGCGTTGCCTTCCAGCTCAGCTCTGTCTTTACCACGACAGGTCGGTGCATCGCTCCAGTGAGAGCCAGAGATCACGTTCTGATGAAGCCAACAGGACCACATCATCTGCAAAAAGCAGAGACCTGAACCTCAGGCCACCAAAACGGATCCCCTCCACACCTTGGCTGCACCTAGAAATCCTGTCCATGAAGGTTATGAACAGAATCGGTGACAAAGGGCAGCCTTGGCGCACACACACACACACACACACACACACACACACACACACACACACACACACACTGCATTAATGAAGCCATGCTGTTGTAAGTCATGTAGAAGAGTTCTGACACGATCCAGCTAACGTAACCACGTGTGTAAAAGAAGAGAAATAACCTTATTTCTGTTTGTACTTCTGCATCAATGTGACCTTCACATTTATGGAAGTCACCTACATCACAATCGCTGAAGCATCGACACACATTAACAGATGCTTTTGCATTTTGTACAGATAAAAACCTGAATAGTCTGTCATTTCTTTGGCACGTATAAGTCAGGATTTTCCCAAAACAAGCAGACAGATAGACGTTTCCATCGTCTTTTGTCCATCTGAGATGAACAAGAACCCAGAGAACCCTGCTGTGCTTCCACATAGACTTAATGTACACTTCCTTGTTGCATTATGCAGCATTAGGGGTGTAACGTTATGAAGTTCATAATTTTCAGCTCCACACAGCTGCCCCTGTACACAGTAACACCCGTGTAGAAAACGCCAAGGTCGGGTGTTCCTCAGACTGTTTACATTCCAGGAGAAGAGCCAGAAGGAGAAGAAGAACGCTTTTCAATAATCAAAGTACTTAATTTGTGATTAAAGCTAGTCGAAACAGATGTTGATCAATAATAATCAAGTGAATGATCTGTGGAATAAAGATGTCATGATTTATGTGTTTAATGAAAACAGGACTACTGCACAGACAGACTGACCCTCATCTCCATAGAAACGCATGACACATTGTTCCAACCAATCAGAGCTTTCGGCTGCCGCAGGAGAATCTGGCTTGTTGAATTAAAGTGTCCAATCCCGTTTACTAAAACTTAAAACAACTCAGAGATATAAAAACAAGGCAACGCCATTTTATGAGCAGTTCCATTTTGACTTCAGTTCTGTTCAGTTGGAAGTCCTACGGGGTTCCACCGTCATCAAAAGAGAAGTACAGCCTGGCCAGATGTGCTTTCTTCTTTAACTGAGAACTGTGAAGCTACTGGAGATTTCCGTTGTTTACCAACAAGACGACGTCCCTTCAAAATAAGAGCGCCACTAGCTGACGCTGCCGATGGTACCGGGGTCGACCCTTCAGACGGACTTTGACGTGCTGTGACCGCTGCTTCAACCAGCTCCAGTACACATCCGAGGTCCTAGGACCTGGCATTTCCTGATCTACCTGGGAGACTCCACAGGGTACGTACACGGCAAAATAGCTGCTCATGTCATCAGCTTCCGAAGCCTCGTGGTCCGTAGTCATAACAACCAGATACGCTCCGTCAGCCTAAAGATCCTGAACAACACACACACACACGCACCAACACAACATCCAAATCCATTTTCATCCATCACAGAGTTAGTCCTGGTAGATTGTTAAGAATTTATAATTAAGAAATTAAAGATTCTTAAACGATCCCAACTCTCTCTCTTTTCTTGTCTCAAAGTCAATACAGAGTGTTTAATTAAACTCCCTGATGATAAAAACAGCCCATCTTCTGATTATAACAAGTGATCTACTTACAGTATATTAAAATACAACTCTAGATCGTTACATCACTCTATTTCACTACAGGGGATAGGAGCGTGTGTAATGTTGCACTATGTTTTTTAGTAGTAATGATGTGTCAAGGTACCTCCATGATCACTGTGGCTATACCCATGGTGGCATAATGGTTCCTCGTGCTATGCCTGAGAGCTCAAAGGTCTCGTGTATCCAAGGTTGACCTCTACACTCAGCCGTGCACAAGGACATTTCTCTAGAAATATTACGTGCAGAAGATGGTGAAACCTCGTCAGGGATTCAGAAGTTTCCATCAATACCAGCTGAGGTCATGGAGGTATGAAAGAACAAACTCAAACGGAGGACAAATGTGACTGATGTGACCGGACCGGTGACTAACACACAGGAACGGTAACATAGCAGGGGAGCTAAGACATGAAATAGCACTTCAGGGAATTCACCTGGCTTCAACACGCATCTTCACACGCACATTCACATCCCTATGTGTGGGCAGACATCTCTCTACAGAGCCAGCAGCTCATCTATAATTCATCCTCTGCTCTAATAGGCCCGGTATTAGTTAGCAGCGAGTTCTGAAGGGTGGCTGATCGAAGCGGTGCAGTGGCTGTCTTTGGCTAAAGAGTTCCTATAGAAGGAGTTGAGAAATGTCGAATGATGAAATAATTACAGATTGTGAGAAAACAACACCATCCACTGCTGTTCGGGTCTCGCTGGTATCCTTCAGACGACACATAAATCTGCAATTTGTTCAAACAAAACATCCCAGAGCCAAATGTGGCTCAAGCTTTCCACAAGTCATTGAAATTCTGCAACAATATTAGCTTACCTGGCTGATATCCATTCGCGCATCGCAGCTTAGCGGCTGCGTCGACATCAGTCCGTTTGAGCCAATCACAGTGGAGAGCAAACCTCTCTCATTAATCTTCTGAATGGTGGTGCCATCAACAAAGTAGACAACACCTCTCTTATCCACTGCAATACCTGAGCGGGCGACAGAGAGAGAGAGAGAGAGAGAGAAAGATAGAATGAGCTTTTTGGAAATGATGGCCACAGAGAACGAGTGAAGAAACTGGAAAAAAGGAGTGTGAGAACGGGAATGGAGGTGCGGTAAAGAGGTCTGAGCCAGGAGGAGAAGTAAAGAGGAAAGAGAAGAGGGCTTTGGCGAAGCATCCAACTCAGTTAGACATTCAGCTCAGCAAGCGGCTGTCTTATCAAAAGCACTGCACCACAGAAATGTAATTATATTTCCATTCCGGAGCCCACTAAAGGGATTAGAACAATGCAACGGGAGGAAGAAGTTATTTGTCACATTAGATGTGAGCAGGGTGTCGCAGTGAACTTTTGACATTTGACGCTTGTGCAAATGTGCATTATAAATGGGCATCCGCTCTTCAAACACACACGAGGATGTGTGCAAGTGTGCATATGTTTACCTTTATTTGCACAGCGCATATGGACACAAGCCCAGTAAGTGTATAATGCTATGGGAAGCGTACACTTGAACTCTCCTTGATTCTGCAGAAAATGGAGAGCAAAAGCAGGAGGTAAAGAAGTAAATCCAGGCATTAAAGGTCGGGGCAGGCTATGAATCATCTGTTATGGATGAGAAGTGACCTTCATTTCAGGCTCATCTCCATGCAGAGAATGGCCCTTTGACTTAACTCGTCTGCAGTAATATTCCTCGGCTCAACCCTCACCTCTTACGCTGCCGATTCCCCCTCATTGCTCTCACTTAGCATCTGTGACAATAAGCCTTATTTTAGTATTCCTGCCATCTATCTTCGGTTCAATCATTTCATTTACAAACACATTTTGTTTATGGCTTGTCATTAAGTTGTGTCACATTTATGCATAGATCCCGTCATCTCCAGCAGGCCTCAGAGGACTTTACGGAGACAAAACCTAAAAATCCATCAGTGTAAATAGAGAGCAGCCTGAAACTAAAACTATCAAACGGCTCAGGGAGGCATGATGGGAAGTTAAAACAGATTTGTGTGTTAATCCATTAGCGGTGTCGGCATGCAATTATTTATCTGTTTAGTCTTGTTCCTTAATTAATTACCGGGCGACGGTGGCACAGGAGTTAAGTGCTCGCCCCGTACTCAGAAGGTTGCAGGTTCGAGCCCCGCTCAGTCTGTCGTTGTGTCCTTGGGCAAGACACTTAACCCACGTTGCCTGCTGGTGGTGGTCGGAGGGACCGGTGGCGCCAGTGTTCGGCAGCCTCGCCTCTGTCAGTGCGCCCCAGGGCAGCTGTCGCTACATCGTAGCTCATCCCCACCAGTGTGTGAATGTGTGTGTGAATGGGTGAATGACTGATTGTGTTGTAAAGTGCCTTGGGGGGTTCCAGGACTCTGGAAGGCGCTATATCAAATACAAGCCATTTGCCTTTAATTCGATGTTTTGGCCAAATGGAGGCACTGGGTCTTATTACAGTTGTTCTGAAAGAAAACATGCATGGAAACTTTTAGTCACACATCCAGCTGCTGTTTAATGTGTTTGTTTGTTTTTTAAACCCTTTTTCTATTAGCCGCTCAGATCGTCTCACCAACTTGCTGGGCTGCATTTCCTGTTGTGGCCACATACATGAACAATTCAGAGTACCGTAATCCATTTTACTGTAATCACAGGAACATAACGCCACTCAGAGGTTGTCCTCTAGCCTTTAGCGTTAACATGCTGTAACTTCTTATCTCTGTGATGGGTGTGGTACTCACCAGGGTACCAAACAGCCCTGTGACTGCTTTGCACCAGACTGAAGACACCTGTGACGCTGATCCAGGACACGCTTTTGTTTAAAAGGAACACATCATGGAAAACTTACCTTTTGCCTCTTTTTGTGCTGCCAGCTGTTCCTGCTGCATCTATAAATGCTCTAAACCTAAACACTAAATAAAAAAATCCATCCATTTGTTTGGTTTTAGGAATGATGCGTCTGTGGGCATTGGTTGGCACTAAATGCACCATGAATTAATTATTACTGTGTATGTTTCAGCAAAAATGGATATCTTGGTTCTGTTTTATTTGAGTGCATCCCTTTTTTTCTTTCTCTCATTCTGCTGGTGCTGGTGAAGGTTCTCAGTCATCCATGAAATATGGTGAGCCGAGCCAATCTTGTTCAGATCAAAACACTCTATTTTGTGTTTAATTCGATTAATTTACGAAACGGAGAGTTTTGTCACTTCCTTTTCCTTCCCCCGGCTTACACCGGAAGGGAAGCTTTTTACAGTGACAGCAGCTCCATAAACAGCAACCAAGCCTGTAATCCAAAGCATTTGCTTGAAATTACATTCTAATTCCTTAAAGTAAGTCAATGTGTTTAATTGTGTGTTTATTCGTAAGGTTCGTCACCTTGTCTGTATTTGTCTGTGTCATTCGGAGTCAGATAACTCGTTTCTCTTTCTTCACGTTAGCACGAAGCTAATCGCTAGGCAGTCTGATCAACTGTTAAATAGCTATTTCTGGCAATTAACCGGACTCTTTCCGAGCCTTCGGAACAACCCAGATTGAGATCTGATGAGTGATTGTGCTCAATACCTGACACATCACTGATTGCACGCATTTTGATCCACTTAGCTGGACTAGCATGGCCTGCTATGTCGGTACGCCATAATAGCGGCAGCGTTTGTGCCTGAACACCGCAAAGTATACGCTAAAACCGGCCTAAAACAGCGAGAACCAGTGCACAGGTCCGTTGCAGTCGAAGAGGTTGTCCCATTGGACGCAAACTAACCTATTAAGTCCTGTTTTTGTTCAAATCTAGGCCTTGCCGACGAGCTACACAGCAATCCGTCGTGCTGGAGATAAGCTTCTGAAGCCGAGCGGCATTCTGCCACAGACACGTCTGTGTCTCCGTTAAAATCCCTCTGGGTAAACATTTTGGCTCATAAAACCGCCGTGTTTTAGCCAATAACTAGAACATACAGCTTCAAATAGCTCGCTTCGCTTGTGGATCTGATTAAAGGAAGTGACGCAACCGTGCCTCTCCTCCATTAATCACGCTCTTTGGTTTCTTGAAGATGTTTCGCTTCTCTTCCCAGGAGCTTTGTCAATTCTGACTAAGATATGGGCGAGTCAAGTTACAGCTACAGCTTAAAAGCTTGACTCCCATGTTCCAGTCAGAATTGACAAAGCTCCTCGGATGAGAGCCCTGATCTTAATATCGGATATCGGTATCAGCCCAAAAATTTCATAACGGTGCATCAACATGCTTTACATGTTTTGAGAACAGCTTTTTCCAGATAAACAATGAGTGAAGTAGATGTAATTTCCTGCATTCTAGTGCATTTTAACAGGTTAATAAATTATCATTAGGCCTATATTGTTGTTTTTGTAAATGAACAGAAGTAAGTCAGCTTTAAAAAGTAAAACAGTTATCAATGAAATAATATCAGTATAAATAAATCACGTGGAATGAGATCTTTGCTAATTTCTTTGAACCCAGTACTGTAATTTCAGAAAGGTTGGAGAATGAACTAAGTTTGCTTTTAATGCAGAAAATACTAAAACATCAAAACATTCTTAAACTTCCAGTAATATTTGGGACATTTATTTTGTTCTTGCTGATAATAACACCAGCGCGGGGCTGTGGCCTGGATTAGGATTAAATGATAGCTAACCAGATAACTACAAACTTCCAATTACCTGTCCTGTGGGGACATTTTGACTTCTATTATCACTTTTTGTCCATTATGTCTCTGGAGGAACAAATATGGAAACCATGAAAAACATATACTTAAAGTACGCCAAAGCTTTCTCTCAATTTTTAAATTTTACATATAAAGTTTAACGAGATCTTGTACAGGGTGGAACATTTTCGTCTTTATTCCTCTTTGATTGTTCTCTCGCTCTGAAGAGCTATCTCGCTCCTGTAAACTCCACCGTGTCCCTAAATAAAAGAGACAGATCCCGACAGCTGCTGTCACCTCCCCTCATCCCAAAAAACAAGGTTCGTCCGACATCACGCTTGGTTTGAGCCCGACTGAACCAGTTTTTTTAAGCAATTCTTAAAACACCCAGATTGAATATGAACACGTTCACATGTCTAGAGGTGTGTCCTCCTCTCCTCTACTGTGTGAGCATCAACATCATCGATCGACTCGACTGTTTACTTGGTTTGAGCTCGGGCTCAGGTTAGAACTCCGGCACTCAGCCCTGCAACGCAACAACACAGAATAATATTTCCCTCTCAATCAATTTAGGATGGCGAGTGTAAACCCGGTGTAAACGTGTATTTTTTTTCCAATGTGTGTGTGTGTGTGTGTGTGTGTGTGTGTGTGTGTGTGGAGGGGGGGAGATTGACACATTCAGCTCTGACAAAATGGTTGCAATCAACGCCATCTGAACTTTCACCTAAATATTTTTTTGAAACACTGAACAAATTTTAATAAAATGCCCCAAAAGTTTGTACTGACTGTACATCTACAGCTGATTAATTCGTGGCGTTGAGACCACTCGACAGGGCCTCAACAGCTAAATGTCATTAGTGAACACTAATACAGCTATAACTCAGTTTAACAGATATTAACGGGGCTCTATTGTGCATAATTCACTTGCTGCAGCCCTGTTTTGTGCAGCCCTGTGGGTCTCTACTGCCTCCATCAGCACTCCAAATGTGAAAAAATTCCATCTGTTTTCCGTCAGTGTTTCGTTTTAAGAATTATGTACCTAAAACAAGCTATTTCCAAAAGTCGCAATTTGTGATGTCACAAACAGGTAAACTAGAAAAGAGCCACCTTTCGTGAAAGAGAGTTTTGAGTCCCTCCCAGATACCAGAGTTTTTTCGCTTATAGCAGCTTGAGCTGGGGATGGGTGGGTGTGGCCAGCTCCAGCTTGTTTTCTTAAAGAGGCAGGGCCCTGAATTCACTCATTCTGGATTGTGCTGAAAATGTTAAGAATAAACTGCTTAAATCGCTGCATCTGACAGGGATTAAGTGCAAAAAACCTCATGAACATGTTTTGTATCGAGCAAAGAACTAAAACAA